GCATAGTACACAGGGGAGGAAGAAAATGACATCAACCACACTAAACCAAGCAAAGAAAGGTCTCATGATCAGCACCACCATCTCTGACAACTCAATTTCTCTTAGCCATCAGTGACACAAACGTGAACGGTGAAGGCAGAGCAGTAAACGAGGAAGACTGAGATAGGGAACACCACTGAGGACCTGGCTTCGCATGAAGGTGATGAGCTCCCACTTCACGGCGGCAGGAGATGGTGGGTGAAAAAGGAGAAGTCAGGAGAAAGTGAGAGAGTTCCAGACTTCTCTCACCTGGTTCCAGAATCATGATTGGAAGAGAAAAGGAAATATAACGAACAAAAAAACACGAGCTCTCTCTCTTCTGTACGCACGACCGACTAAGAGGGGCAAGAAAATGAAATAATAAGCTTTTTGGGAAAATTACAAAATATAACCCAAAGCTTGTTGGGAAAATTTCAAAAGAAACCCATCAAATTTCTTTTTATTTTATTTATTATAACATTTATACAATAAGAAGCAAGGCACTTTAGCACTTTTATAATTAAAGATAAAACTAACATATGGGTTTAAACCTATACTTCCGTATGTATAACTAGTATAAATTTGACTAGGCCACTGCTCTTCATTCATTATAAAATTATAATAAATAAATAAATAAATATCAATTGGAAGGAAAATTATTTAATGTAAAATTTAGGGTCGTTACAAATAACAACTAAATTTGAAGCAATTTAGGGAAAAGATGGAGTTGAAATTTTTTAGTAAAATCTTCCTTAAAAATTGAACCTCTCAAGACTTTAAAAAAAAATTACAAGAGAAAATTCATTAGCTTATACCATATAAATAATCACATACAATAATCTTAGGCCTTATGAAGCCAATAATAGCACTTTTAGTAATAATCATATCAATAACAACTAAATTTAAAGCAATTTAGGGAAAGAATAAAGTTGAAAAAATTTCAGCAAAGTCTCCCCTAAGAATTAGACATTAAAAAATTTTAAAAGCAAAAATACATAATTTTATATATAAATAATGTCAACAACAACAACAACAATTTGATCACATTAAAGAACTCAAGTTAATAGGCAACCACTAACAGCACTCCCCAGTAAGCAATTATATAATAACTGATTAAAATATTCAAAAAAATAAAATTAAATTAAAATAAATTAAACTACAATTAATATATATAAATTAAAATTAAAAAAGGAAAAGACATAACTGTTTGAAGAACCCATGTCTATGGCAGAGGGAGGAAGAGGGGGAAGGAGCTAGGGACTCGAGGGAAGGGGAGGAGGGTGAAGGAGGAAGGGTGAGCTGAGGGAGGGGAGGAGGCAGTAAAGGAGGAGGGGCTAGGAGGATGCGA